CCTTTTATGCGTAATGCAAACTATTGCTACCTGGCTCAGAGACGAGACGCACCGAGCACGCTACTTTACATTGTAAACAGATTTCATCGCTTTAATTTCATAACTTTCGCATAAAAGATGGCTCCTCAAGGGGGGAAATAAAGGTCAAAACTAAGAATATCGAACAGGAAGCTAAAAAGAAGGCAACTATGAATAAGTATACCGACATAGAAGCTTTGAATAAAATACTGGTCGGACTCGGATCAGGGGAGCGATTTGGACAACGAGTATTTCGACTCGGCTGACGAAGATTGCTTTCTAGAAGGATTGGATCCACTTTTCGATCTGAAAGTAAATTATTTTCATGACTTTATATAGCTAATTTACTGTATGTATACATTTTATCCTTGTAACTTTGGAGAGGCCACTAAACTCACGTCCATTGTTTATTTGTGGTTCTCACCTCAGCCTTTGTCTCCAAAGTGTTACTGTTTGCATTGTGTGTGCTTCACACCTTCTATGTGAGTCACTACAGATCAAGATTAGGCTTGGTGTTTTAACTTTACAGTACTGTCGTTTTGTAAATTTTGTCAACTGTAATTCTGTGTCTTACAACAATATATCCATTTATTTTATTCACCACAGAGTGGAGGATGCAGAGGATTTACATCCACTTTTCATAGATCTCTTGAAGAATAAAATAGGGGCTTGTGGCACCATTCGTCCTAACATAATTGGTTTCCCCACACAGCATAAGGCATTCAATAATAACCATGTCTCAAGGAGGGTGAAAAAGGAAGAATGTCCCCGTTTCTGTGAAGGACTACTATGCCAGCATGGGTGGGGTGTCGACCTATCTGATGCTCTGATAGGCTACTACCAGGTCCTCCACAAGACCAGGAAGTGGTGTAATACTTTTTTTTACCACTTTGTGGACATTGTTACAGTAAATGCTTTCATTCTCCACAAGCAGATGGCCAAAGCAAAAGGTCAAACCCCTCTCTCCCAGTTGGCTTTCCGAGAGCAGCTGGTGTTGGAAATGGCTGAATTGGGCGCCCAAAGCAACCTCACAACCATCACAAGACCCCCCGCTCAAGGTGAGCGCCACTATCCAACACACATGACAAAAGGAAGAACTGAAAGCATTGCACAAAACAAAGGGGGGGGAAAAAGGGTGAAATGCTAGATCTTCTGTCCGAAATGCTAGTTAGTTTTTTTGTTTCCTTGCAGAGAGGGACTGCTTCAAAGACTATGACGACATGCACAAGCTATGGTGAAAGTGAAATCTAATCATCAACACCTGGGACAAAAACGAACACGAATGCCATTTGTAAATAGTTCAGCTTATTTCTATTTTTGCACCTTTTTTAGTGAAGGACACGTGTGTAACCAAGTTTGTGTTTGATAAGACATTTTTATATATTTTTAATGTATATCTGTTGCTTTTATATTGTTTTTGTAAACAGTTAATTTGTATGTGGGACCAATTCATTGGATATGGCTAGGCTAAACGTTCAGGCACAACACTTGGATATCCCCTGTATGTCCCCCGACACCACCACAATGTTTGAGAGAGGTTGGTGTTGTAGAAATTTCAGTTTTTATAGTGAACAATAGCTTTTAGGGACATCCAGTGTGCAAAAACAGTGAAATTACCACATTCGGACACTTTGGAGAGGTTGAAAGGTCACTTGAATGTACCCGGGATACCCCATAACACCACCACAATGTTTGAGTGAGGTTGATATGGTAGAAATTGTGTTTTTATACTGAACAAATCACATTTAGGGATTGCAAATATGCACTTTGCAAACAGGATGCATGTTTTGGAATATTTGTATTCTGTACAGGCTTCCTTCTTTTCACTTTGTCAATTAGGTTAGTATTGTGGAGTAACTACAATGTTGTTAATACATACTCAGTTTTCTCCTATCACAGCCATTAAACTCTGTAACTGTTTTAAAGTCACTATTGGCCTCATGGTGAAATCCCTAGGCGGTTTCCTTCCTCTCCGGCAACTGAGTTAGGAAATACGCCTGTATCGTTGTAGTGACTGGGTGTATTGATACACCATCCAAAGTGTAATTAATAGCTTCACCATGCTGAGAAGGGATATTCAATGTCTGCTTTAAAAAAAAAAAAAAGCCCATCTACCAATAGCTGCCCTTCTTTACAAGGCATTGGAAAACCTACCTGGTCTTTGTGGTTGAATCTGTGTTTGAAATTCACTGCTCGACTGAGGGACCTTACAGATAATTGAATTGTATGTGTGGGGAACTGAGAGGAGTCATTCAAAAATCATGTTAAATGCTATTATTGCACCAGAGTCCATGCAACTTATTATGTGACTTGTTAAGCACATCTTTACTCCTGAACTTATTTAGGCTTGCCATAACATAGGGGTTGAATACTGATTGACTCAAGACATTTAATCTTGTCATATTTTTTATTTTATTTTTTTAAACAGAATTCCACTTTGACATTATGGGGTACTGTGTGTAGGCCAGTGACAAAAAAATCTCTATTTAATCTATTTGAAATTCAGGCTGTAACACAACAAAATGTGGAAAAAGTAAAGGGGTGTGAATACTTTCTGAAGGCACTGTAGACAAATAAAAAAAAAGGGGTTTTATATAGAACATTTTGGTCAATTCAAATTTTAACTGCCATTTCGATAAAAAACAACAACTGCCATTCCAGCATGGCAATGCAAGAGGATAGTGATTGAACTTGCAAATATGTACAGTGAGGGAAAAACGTTTTTGATCCCCTGCTGATTTTGTACATTTGCCCACTGACAAAGAAATGATCAGTCTATAATTTTAATGGTAGGTTTATTTGAACAGTAAGAGACAGAATAACAACAAAGAAATCCAGAAAAACACATGTCAAAAATGTTATAAATTGATTTGCATTTTAAATGAGGGAAATAAGTATTTGACCCCCTCTCAATCAGAAAGATTTCTGGCTCCCAGGTGTCTTTTATACAGGTAACGAGCTGAGATTAGGAGCACACTCTTAAAGGGAGTGCTCCTAATCTCAGCTTGTTACCTGTATAAAAGACACCTGTCCACAGAAGCAATCAATCAATCAGATTCCAAACTCTCCACCATGGCCAAGACCAAATAGCTCTCCAAGGATGTCAGGGACAAGATTGTAGACCTACACAAGGCTGGAATGGGCTACAAGACCATCGCCAAGCAGCTTGGTGAGAAGGTGACAACAGTTGGTGCGATTATTCGCAAATGGAAGAAACACAAAAGAACTGTCAATCTCCCTCGGCCTGGGGCTCCATGCAAGATCTCACCTCGTGGAGTTGCAATGATCATGAGAATGGTGAGGAATCAGCCCAGAACTACACAGGAGGATCTTGTCAATGATCTCAAGGCAGCTGGGACCATAGTCACCAAGAAAACAATTGGTAACACACTACGCCGTGAAGGACTGAAATCCTGCAGCGCCCGCAAGGTCCCCCTGCTCAAGAAAGCACATATACAGGGCCGTCTGAAGTTTGCCAATGAACATCTGAATGATTCAGAGGAGAACTGGGTGAAAGTGTTGTGGTCAGATGAGACCAAAATCGAGCTCTTTGGCATCAACTCAACTCGCCGTGTTTGGAGGAGGAGGAATGCTGCCTATGACCCCAAGAACACCATCCCCACGTCAAACATGGAGGTGGAAACATTATGCTTTGGGGGTGTTTTTCTGCTAAGGGGACAGGACAACTTCACCGCATCAAAGGGACAATGGACGGGGCCATGTACCATCAAATCTTGGGTGAGAACCTCCTTCCCTCATCCAGGGCATTGAAAATGGGTCGTGGATGGGTTTTCCAGCATGACAATGACCCAAAACACACGGCCAAGGCAACAAAGGAGTGGCTCAAGAAGAAGCACATTAAGGTCTCCAGACCTTAATCCCATAGAAAATCTGTGGAGGGAGCTGAAGGTTCGAGTTGCCAAACGTCAGCCTAGAAACCTTAATGACTTGGAGAAGATCTGCAAAGAGGAGTGGGACAAAATCCCTCCTGAGATGTGTGCAAACCTGGTGGCCAACTACAAGAAACATCTGACCTCTGTGATTGCCAACCAGGGTTTTGACACCAAGTACTAAGTCATGTTTTGCAGAGGGGTCAAATACTTATTTCCCTCATTAAAATGCAAATAAATTTATAACATTTTGGACATGCGTTTTTCTGGATTTTTTTGTTGTTATTCTGTCTCTCACTGTTCAAATAAACCTACCATTAAAATTATAGACTGATCATGTCTTTGTCAGTGGGCAAACGTACAAAATCAGCAGGGGATCAAATACTTTTTTCCCCTCACTGTATGTATCATATAAAAAACGATCTGTTAGACTGTTTCATGGTTGTTCTGCACGCAGCTTGGTTCTAAATTAAATCTGAAAAGGGTCATCTCTATAAATCAAGGACATAAACTAACAGGCTTATGAATAATGTAGATAAATAAAAGAGAGCCACAGAGTAGATTTCTGATATGACTTTTATTGCTTCTTGTTATGTAACAAAAATGAGGGGTTTATCCCTTTTTTAATAATGCATACAGCTTAAAACAGCTTAAAACAGCTGAACATTTTGTTCAGTGATGCTCACCCAGTAGCACTGAGAAGTCAACACAAACATTTACAATAGTCTTCAGTCATTCAATCCCAGTCAAATTCAATAACTGGCATCAAAGGCCTTAACTGGTTAATGTTTTCAGTTTTGAAATGTGACCTATAACTGATCCACATACAACAATATGTTTGTAAATCATAGAGTCCATAGCATGAATCTTTAGAGATAACCTTCATATACAAGAGTCATAGAAAATCTGCTATTATAAATAACCCATTCGATTAAATAAATACTTTGATTAAAGACAGCTCTATCTTAAATATGATAAATAACATCAGCATATGATACAATACAACACAAAGAGCCTACATCCGGCATCCCCAATCCTTTTAACATAAAAGATATTCAACATGTCCATTTGCACTTTCTTCTGTGCAAAAATTCAGTCCGAGCTCTTGTGCAAGGTCCCAAAAAGCCTGTCCCAGTGTGTGAAGTACGGAGCGTAGTTGGATTTGAACTTCAGGTGGTGCATGTCATGGTGAGGAGCTCCACCGTAGAGCCCAAAGGGCACCAGTCTATGCGTGGACAAGGGCAGGTCATAGCCACAGTGGTCCTCCACAGAAAGCCAGATATTCAGTACATAGAAGAGCATCTCCGTTAGGGGGTGGCAGCCCAGCAGTAGAGGGTTGACCGATGCGAAGAAACCCAGAGACAGGGTCTCCCAGGCCCCAGAGTACTCAGTGGTCAGGGCGAAGGTTGTCGTGTGCTTGTGGTGCACCTTGTGGAATGTCCGGTACAGCCAGGGCACCTTGTGGTGCAGCAGATGCCAGATGAAGGACTGAAAGTCGAAGAGCAGGAGGCAGGCGACCACGTCCCAGATGAGACGCAACGTCCCGGGGGCCTCGGCTATGAAGCTGGCTGGTCTCCAGTACCAGTGCAGCACCGTGAGAGGGAAGAGGAACACCACATGGTTGTAGAGGGAGTGAGCCAGGCAGCTCCACATCATAGTCCAGGAGACGTGGCTTTTCTGCTGGATCTTAAAGGTCCTGATCCAGGCCAGCCTGGGGGAGAGGAGGTCCAGCACCACGAAGGGCAGGCAGAAGGCGAGGTAGACGCTGAGTGAGAAAAGTACAGGGAAGAAAGGCGATCTGAGCCACGCATGATAACCCAATATGAAGTCCCATAGGCTCTGTAGAAGCATTGTGTCTAGGCTTGTGTGTGCGTGAGCTGGAAAAGCGTGTTTAAACAACCTCCTGCCAAAGTTGACTCTCCCTTTTTATGTATGCTGTATGCAAGGATCCACCCCCAGATGTTCTTATAAAGACTTCCTGAACATCCTGGGGACTTTTCACTTAGCCCAGTTATCTGATTCTGAGTAAGATTGTTCTGAGTGCATGTATTGGAAATCAAATCGACATTTATTGGTCGCGTACACAGATTTGCAGATGTTATCACATATGCAGCGAAATGCTTGTGTTTCTAGCTCCAACAGTGCAGTAATACCTAACAGTACAAAACAATACACACAAATCAAAAAAGAAATATTTGAACGAGCAATGTCAGAGTCCAGAATATAAATATACTGTCTATACACAGCATTATATATATATATATATATATATATATATATATATAGAGATAGACAGTATATAAATAGAAAAGGTGTGTACAGCAGTAGTTATATAGGATGAGCCATGACTAGAATACAGTATATACATATAAAGTGGGTAAAACAGTATGTAAACATTATTAAAGTGACCAGTATTCATTGACTATGTACATACTGTAGGGCAGCAGTCTCTATGGTGCAGGGTAGAGTACCGGGTGGTAGCCGGCTAGTAAAAGTGACTAAATCTCACTATAATCATTAAATAAATACATTCATAACCAGAAAGGTGTTTTATTCGATTATACAGCATGTAAATTAACAATGTTTTAGGGATATACTGGCTGAAGAACTTCCCTACTTTGTGCATATGAAGAATTGCAACTTCCTTGAGAATTTCTCAAAGCCATGATGTATAATAAAATAGTCTCTTGCATAACATTGTAATTCGATACAATAGTACTGTTTTTTCTGTTCTATTTTGCCTGGACATTGGCCAAAAGAACATCTGCTCCATCCCCATTCCTTTTTCTCTTTATCTAGTGCACTACGCCACCAAGTGGTCAAGTTAAAACATCTTATATTCTAATCTATTCCGTTGTTGAGAGGACTGTTGTCCACTCACATTATAAAACTGGTTGTCAAGTTTTTGGCAGAATGGAAACTAGCACATTAGTTTAGTTTTAGTTTCTAAGGCAATCTTTATTTTATTTTATTATTGCCAAGGAGTGGGTAGGTTTCGGCTGTGTATCAATCGTCAGCATACCTGGCCAACACACAACTCGCTGCCTTCAACAGTAAAGATGAGGTAAGAAGCATAGGAGACAGGGTCTCAGACACAACAGCACCTTTGACATCACGTGACATTCCTGCTTCCTGCAGCCCTCTGGTGTAATTTCTATTATACTAGTAATTTCTCTAAATCAACTTGGTATAACACAGTAATAATAACTATTTGGTGATGTGTTGGTTCTATTTGATTTAATGAATAATATTTACATCTCCAAGGGTCAATTATTGCTGGGCATAAAAAGCTGCAGGCTGCAGGCAGACAATGAACCACAGGAGGTGAGTGATCCAGCTAGTGCAATGTTCATTAAAACAGTGGTCCAAAGTACGTAGGGCAATTAGCCCAAGAGGATTTACTGTATAGATGTTGGAAGGGCTGGGCATGTGTGAAAGGGTAGAGAGGACGCGGCTACAGTAGTGCCTGTCAGCACTCAGGAGGTGGGCGTTGATCAGCCTGACGACCTTGGGTACATGTGACCCTCCGCCTGTTGGTCTAGCACCTGGGGCAGTGGAAGCGCCAACTCAGGGGCAACAGTTCAAATGCTGGGTGGTAATAATGGTATTTTTGCTTTTATTCATAGTGCCTTTGTCAAAGCAGATATGGAAGTCCAGCTGAAAGCACTTGATTGTCACTTTATATGGGGCATAAGGAAGTCTGAACGGCGTCCCTGAACAACTCATCATGTTCTGCCCTTTGAAATACAGTACTATCCCATATATTTCATATTTCAACTTACTAACGTTTCTGAGCCACCTAGAGGAAAAAAATGTTAACCTATGCTAACTATGCATGGGTTCACTATTACTCAGGGAACATGGATGATGTGGATGCCTACCTTTTGAAAGCTGGAAAACATCAATAAGGGTATTACGAGTGCCTCAAAGATTCAAGGCAGCTTACCTTCAATACATGGTGAGAAAGGTTGGAGCCTTATCAGGCTTGGCGGATAATTTTACAAGAGGGTAAAAGATAGCTTTCAGAAAGCTCTTAAGGGGGAACCAGACAATGCATCCTTCAATGTGGGCTATGCCATTGTCCTGTACGGGTTGGAGGGCATGGTCAGTGATAAGAGAGTAAAGTCAGTGATGACTGCAGGTGCCAACCAGCTAAGGAAGGCCTTATCCTTGGAGCCAGATAACTCTGAGGTTATGGTCCTTCTAGCCCTGAACCTTCAAAAAGATTCCCCCAAAGATAAACAAGAGGCCATGAAACTCATCAAAGAGGCCCCCAGACCAGTCTCCTGACGTGCCTCATGTCCTGTGTTACACGGCCAAAGATTTCAGATATCAGGTGTCTATCGATGAGTCCCTACAGGTTTTGGGGAAAGCTCTGGAACTGTCTCCAAATTCTGACTTCCTCCATCACCAAATCACTGTGTCACAAGCAGCAGCTCGTCCAGATGTTTGAACAGAAGAGGAAAGGGGGACTAGTATGGGTGGTCTCATTGAAATAAAGTAGGCTGCCTACATAGGCGGAGAATCACGTGGCAGTTAACTTGAATATGAAATTAACTTAAATATGATTAGACTGTAGTTTACTACAGTGTCTGTAAATAAATATTGATAATGGAAAATGGATGGCGCTCAACCAAGTGCAATCAAAAAATGTAATCATGATTGAAAAGGAAAAAGGCACAACGCGCACAGGTTCTTGTTCAATAAGTACTGATTACCCATTTATTTGTCTCTGCCTGCAAATCGTCCTCCTAAAAGGTAGGCTGTATCCTATAGGACTATGCAAAACGTAGCAAGTGTAACTGTAATCATTCTTGCTGCTTCCAGTTCAGTAGCCATAACACGAGATCAGGTGCGCGTGTGGTCTCAATTAAATAGAGTAGGCTATATCCTATGCATGGGCGAAGCAGAACAGGGCAGTTATCTTTCCAAGGAAAAGTACTTCCTAAATAGGCACGTGATTAGGCTATAGTTTACTACATTGCTGTTGGTGAAACCATAATTATGAGAGGGAGTACAAACCATCGACGCTAGACAGAGAGGAATTTGCTTAAGCAAAAGGCAGTTTATTAAACACAGAGATAGCTGGTACTGCTCAAGCTACATGCATGGACCCAACCAATTGCCTCTTAAGGAGACAGTTGAGAAAGGATGATAAAAAAGAGTTTTCAGCATTACTTTATACAATGTAACATAAAGGAAGGGGTCCTTCTTCTAGTCCCTTGATTGGTTCCCGAGGCGTAGGAGGCGGGTCTGCTCTGTCCAGAGTAGAAGCCCCATTGGTGCACGGCAGAGTCCTCTGCCCTTGGCACCCGACCAGTAGACAGGGGAGTTGAGAATGAGTGTGCGTGCAGTGAAATGTCTGTGTGTGTCCAGGGAACTCGTTGAGGAGTATCTGTTGATCTATGGCCGGAGGTGGAGGTGTTGTCCTATTATCGCATTCCTAGGCCATCTGGTGAGAAGATAAGGTGTTCTCTGTCCTTTTGTTCTCTGACCTTTTGTTCTCTGACCTGGAACAGCATTTATTGAAAACAGGCTCCAAATGGGTCTTACAGAACATTTTATTCAGACCAATCTATAACAAATTATATTTACTACGACATTGCCTAGAAATAGGCCTACCCATTATTTATCAGTCTGTAAATCTTCCCACTCCTAAAAGGTAGGCTGTAAACATAGCTCAAGAGAAAGTGCAAGTCTCTCCAACTCTGCTCTCTTCAAACTACATCTAGTATATTGGCTGATATAGTCCAGTAATATAATATAAGGGCCATGTGAGAATCTCAGGTAATTTAACCTATGTCTTAAGTTATTTTTGCGCATTTGATATTGCCTATAGGGCGCAAAATTGCTGGGAGCATGGCTGGCACGTGATCTGCGTCACATACGCCTAAAATAGCATGGCGGGACCGCAATTGGGTTTGGGACCAGTTCTTGCAGTAGCGGGCGGGAGTCGGACAGAAATCCAGCAGGTGCCGGCGGAAGCGGGATGAGGAAATCGGTCCCGCCAGACTTTTACTGTGCACCCTGACAGTGAAGCCTGTAACATTAGAGCTGTTTATTACTGCGTCAGTGTGAAAAGTAGGGAATTAGCTAGGGAAACTGACAGATCAATAACGTTACATTGCCATACTGAATAATAAAACTCACACTGCACTGAAAAAACATCAGAACATCAATCTTCACTCGTTTGGCCGATGGTTTCATTGTTTGATTCAGGTCTAGTTTGATTGAGGCAAAAATAATAGCTAATGTAAGCCAGCTTTTGGCCAGATCTCTCTCTAACGGTACATCAACTAGCAAAAGCTTGCCAAGTTCGTTTACTTCTGAAACGGGACAAAACAAAGGTTACAAAATATTTCCATACAAACAACAGCTGTTAGATAGCGATATGAGGTGGCTATTATTACTATCTGACAGATAACTAGAGGCTAGAGCTGACCTGGCTGTGGTACACTGTAAAACTTCTCCCTGTACATGTACAGCATTCTACTGGCACCACAGTTACCAGTTTAATACTGTAATTTTGCTTTAGAGCAGTGATGCTGTAATATAGTTTACAGTACTATTTTCCTTACTGTAAAACATATTACAGCATCCCTGGCTCTATACTCCAGCATTTTGGTTTAGAGATCAGATGATGAATATGATGTGAAAGTACATTTATTTTAGGGTAAATATTAGGGTGGTATGTTCCTACTCATTCACACATTGTTCAAAGGTAAGACACGATCGCAACAGCTGAAAATGCAGATGATCTACTTAGTCCTATTCAATTATCAATAGACTACATAATAATGCATGGCAGGGCTCTACAGTATGCTAATTTTAGCCGGTGCCCCCGCACATTGTCTCTGCACCGGTACCCCCCCTGTATATATAGCCTCCCTACTGTTATTTTATTTTACTTCTGCTCTATTTTTCTCAACACTTTTTTGTTGTTTTATTCTACTTTTTTATTAAAAATAAATGCACTGTTGGTTAAGGGCTGTAAGTAAGCATTTCACTGTAATGTCTGCACCTGTTGTATTCGGCACATGTGGCCAATAACATTTGATTTGATTTGACTCACATATGCGCCTAAATATTTTGGCTGGCTACTGCTGCCTGCATTCTTTCCAGACACAGAAAGGTATTCGATTGCCCCATATATTGTTTCACCTTCCGAGAGGAGTAAAACTTTTCTTCTCCTGACACTGATGCCACAACATTGTACAATCAAAATGAAATAATAATCTTTCTTCCTCTTTTCGCCGGCTATGCATGTTTGTCGAGGGACAGATCGTTAGAAAATACACTGACAAACAAACTTTTTACAGATCAAAACAATTTAGCCTATCCATTCTTAATTTGTCTTTTTTTTTTTATACAAAGAAAAGACTGTCTGTTAGGCTAGGCGCTGCACTCCATCCCAGCACAAGAGGACAAAAACAATTTACAGAATTGTTTAAATATTTGTTTTACTTTCTTCTATGTATTTTTTGTCATTTCTGTCCCCTTTATTGCATATGCCTCGCTCCCTCATAGAATAAACTATTTATTTTGAGGTTGTACTATTTACAGAACCTTTTTAACCTTGTGTGTGTGAGAGACAGTCAGTGTACACTCTTAGAAAAAAGGGTTACGAAAGGGTTCTTTGGCTGTCCCCATAGGAGAACCCTTTTTGGTTCCATGTAGAACCCTCTGTGGAAAGGGTTCTACATGGAACCCAAAAGAGTTCTACCTGGAACCAAAAGGGTTATCCATGTACCTGGAATCAAAAAGGGTTCGTCAAAGGGTTCTCCTATGGAGACAGCCGAAGAACCATTTTAGGTTCTAGATAGCACCTTTTTTCATAACAATTACATAAACATGTTACATTTATCAATCAAGATCTCACCTCTGCTTGAAGGACTGAAGCAATTTCCAGCACTGTATTGGCGTCAAATGGTATTTTATGTCCTCCGGCTGAACATATTCAAGGTCTCTAATATTCTCCACTGCAACATTTCCCCTCAGATGCTCCGACAAAGATCTCAGCGTCTCGGTCTCCAACTCGGGCAATTGATGCTTGATTGCATCTTGAAGTCCCTCCATGCCTACACTGGTTTAAGGAGAACATACTAAGTGATGCAGGGAAACAACAGAGAAACCTGACACTTTATAAACTGGTAGTGGGTAATAATCACTCAGACTATCTGCATTAACACACACATAATTAATCACAGAATCTGGTATAAAATTAACCCAGAGATCGACCAGTGACACAGACTGATACACCCCAACAGTTAAATGGACCTGTGATTCTGTGACCAGAACCAGTGAGATCTTTCCAAATGTGTATCCAGTATAATTTTCTCCCAACAACAAGGCCTTTAGTGTATGTTGTTTCTTTAGACACCTCTGCAGTGCTTTGCTTTATGAACCCTTTTGACTGTACAGCTTCCCTGAATGCCGTTGTTATATAATTGCTCCTCAAATTCATTCAACTTCAATGCTATGTGGAAACAATTTGCCGCTGCATAAGTAAGATTGAAGTAACTGGTGCCTCTCAAACAATGTTTTGCACAGGTTTCTAAAGTTGTGAAGTTTTCTGGCACACTCCTTGAAGTAGGAGTGCTTGCTCTCAAACCTCAGTGTCCACAAACGAATGAGTGGCCCAAAGTGCAGGATGAGGTCGGGGTAGTGTAACAAGTAGTGATGCTTTGGTTTCAGTTTGGAGTCAGGGAACATAGTGCTTCTCAAATGCACATATTCTTCAATCAGAACCCTCAAGTATGCAATCTGATTGTGACTAATTTTGTAGGCACAAATTAGCTCAACCATCTCCTTCAGTTTGAGATAACTGACAGACCTCACTGTCTAGTGTTTTTTTTTTTTTTTATCCTATCGCCAACATACACTGGTAGTAGTCGCAAAAAACACAAATTCTGGGCTGCATGGCCCCCAAGTTGTTCTCTCTTTGGTTTGATCTCACATGGCTTGTTATGTGCATCGCTCCCTGAATGTCTGAGCTGTGACATGCATCTATTTAACTGGACATACGTGAAATGTTTTTCTACTGTTACTAGATACTTAATGAAAAGGGCCAAGTCATACGACACTATTCCTTCAAATAAATCATGGCCTAGACAAGGAGGAAGCCCTTTACACACATGGAAGTGGTTCAAAGTGTTGAACACAGAATCAAACTTGATCCCTTGAATTATGTATTGGTCAGTGGTGGACAGCTCCTCAACACTGTCTTGATAGTTACTGATTGTTCTCTTTGGGCCAAGCTTGTGAGGTGCTCTTTGAACGGTCTCTCTGTC